TGTTAGAACCAGCCGGAAATAATGATAAATACGAATGTCTAGCCAATGTTAATGCTGGAAATTCGGTGAAGTGTTAAGGAAAAGGGGACCTAAAAGCTTAAGCCTGGTTCTGGATAAACCTGGACGTAGACTTAACAGGTATTCTGGTGACTTTTTATCGACCGCCGGTAGGCATATACTACAAGAGATACGACAGGGTAGACCGAGATATTAACATATGTAAATAACTTTGATTTGTTTCTGTGTATTATGTGTACAGAGGTTCTATGTTTTGAGAGAACTTTGTTCATGGATTTCGTGGCCTGAATGCTGAAAAAGTATGAGCTTTCTACCTATTTGCCTGTCGGAAAGGCCATAAATCTGCCTACGGCTGTGGCTGGCAGGAGCAGGAAATGAAACAGAAGTTTCCATAGAAGAGAGCTACAGGAGATAATAATATTTATCACGCAGTACTAACTTGAAAGCCACAAGGCACTACACGCAGTCTAGTTTGGTAAAATACGCAATTTTTTTTGGTCTATTTACGAAAGTATTGTTTAGTAATTGCCAGTTTATTTTTGTTTAATAAAAGCAAAAATAGTAGAAACTAATCATATTTTAGTTAAAAAACTAGAACAATGCTTTGAAAAAATAGTAGATTTCACTTTAATTATAAATAAGCTTGTATATTCAAATACCAAACACAAAAGGGAATCGAATTTGTTTGGTCCCTCTGGGTCTCTGGGTCCCTTTAAACTTTTTCTGCAGACAATTTTAACAAGCTTGGAAAAATTAAATAAAAACTTTTAAGAAAAAATTAAGACTACTTTGATTTCATTTTTCACTGCTAAACTCCTTTATTTATAATTTTATTTATAATTATTTATAATTTATATTACAAATTCCTTTTGCTTCTGTCGATAACAGTTCAAGCAAAATAGAATAGTTTTGAATCCATATATGAAAGATTTAACTGAAGTGAAGTTGCATATTCCAGGAGGGATTAGAGGATTGATAATAATAAATCCCCCACCAAATAAAGTGAATTAATTAAACAAATCCTTTAAAGTTCAAGAACGAATTAAAATTGTTCAACAAATTTGATGTCTTACAATTAAAAAAAAAATTAAGAAACATTTTTTGTGTTTTAATACACCATTTCTTTTATTTATTGTCTTCTTATTTTAATTAAAGCTATTTAAGCAACTGGCAAATGAGCACCAGATGGTTGGAAACCGTTTTCATCAGCAACATAGTTGACTGTGTATTTTTGTCCATCATCAGCAACCCAGGAGAATGATCCGTGAACAACAATAGCTTCGTGGTCAGTGCCAACATCCTTCAATTTACCATCTTCAACCTTTGATGTACCATCACTGGTCTCAAGACTATAAAAATAATTTTATTTGTATTAATTTTATCCTTGTTTATTATCCTCATATCCTGTTGAACTTACGCATAGTTGTAGGATTCTGGTTGCACATCAGATTCCAATTTCAAGATTTCAACATCACCTGGGCGAGCCATGGCTACAGCGAAGAGAGCGGCTAAAACAATGACGAATTTCATTTTGTTTGATTTGTGTTGTTCCTTTGGAAGTTCAAGACTTAATGGATGATTTTGATATGCAGGCAAGTGTATTTTATACTTAAAATTTTAGATGATCTTTCTAACAGTAAATATCATAGGTGAATTCTGTACGAAACATTTGCATACTACGAATGCTAAAAATGCATAAGTTTAATGAAAACTGGATTAAGTGTTTTAATTTGTTATTCGAATATTAATTTTTGTTTGTTACCAACTAAAAAATATTAATTCAGTTAATTTTTTTAGTGCAGCTATTAGTATTGAAAATATAAATTTTGCATAAAATGGAGTGAAATTTACTACCTGATTATGCAAAAATATTTATAAAAAGTCAGCAAGGGTCATAAAACTTTTCAACGAATTTATTTAATTCTTCTCATTAAAATCTGTGAACTAATGTTTGATATCTGATTTATTTTGAAGCTTTATTATTGTTGCAAATATTTGTTTATTTTTATTTAAATTATTCTCTTTTTCTAAAAAAAGAATTTAACAGTATTGCAGACAATATCTTTTTTAAGCTATATATTTTAGTGTATATAATTGAACTAAATTTATTAATATTTTATATGAATTTCTTTTTTTTAAGGAAATATAAGCAAATTTAAAAAATTCAGAAATGTATGTATTTTCTTTCAAATACAACACTATGATCTTAACAGAAAAGCTATATATTATATTATACGATATAACATTACTTTTTTTGCATATAGGTACAATAGTTAACTCTGTATTCCACCCGATGTAATCACTAAAACTTTTTATATTGAATAAGGTATGAATACACTGGCACACAGATAGATAAATGCTAACGACAGTCCATGTTATGGAAAACATCTTCATTAAGATTCTAAGAAGTGGTAATAGTGATACCACAGAGGTGCTAGCTGACAGAAAAGACTTTTAAAAGGATGTACCTTTCCTGAGTTAGAAAATGATTACATTAGCAATGCTGGATGGATCTAATGTGGATAGATGCCTTTGTGTCATAAAGGGCCGACTAGTGATAGAGTAGATCAATTTCACTGAATTCAACAAAATGTCGAAAGAAATATTTCGCCATTTATAAAAACAACACATAATACTAAAAAATGAGAGTACTTTTTAAAGATAAACAGTTAGGTTAAAGGAAATCAATGTAATAAACCACTGACTTTAAGAGTAAAATCAATTTGAAATAAAAGAATTATTTTAAGTGAATTATTTAAAAAATAACTAAGGCATATTAGCATACATCAAAATTGAAAAGTAATTCGAAACATTAATATATAGCAAAATTAACCGTTAAATAACAACGCAGTAAAAGTCGTAACTATCAAGAATGCTATATATAAAAATTATCGTCTTTAGAATGAAAACACTATTAAACAATTTTTTAAACTTATTTACTGAAATTGTTTTTAATATATTAGTTAAAGAGTTTTAGATTACCGATATGGTTTCGACACGTTCCTCGTTCATTGTCAATTTTAGTTTGGGGAATAGCTAGCAGTCTCACAGAACCATATCAGATTAATATTGTGAATAATAAATAATATCGATGGTCGATTTTTGATCTCACATACCATGATGTCTTCTTACAATGGTGCACTATAAAACAACAAAAACTAACTACCTAGAATATCCAATCGAAATTAGAACGAAAATCATTGAAGTCTAGCTCACGATTGTTGTACAATTCTTAAATAATGTTCTATGTTCGCCTTCTGATCTTGTGAGTAAATTCATTTAAACTTACTTACTTACTTACTTATTTGGCCATAACAACTCATTACCGAATTTCGGCCTGACGCAGCATGTCTCCCCAGGCGCCTCTGCTGCTTGCGCACCTTCTACAGTCTCGTACATTAAGTCCAGTTAGTGCTCCCTCAACTTGATTACTCCACCAAAGACACGGTCTGCGTCTATCTCTAAGTCTTTTTCCGCCAAATAGAGGACTAAAGATCTCACGAAGAACTTTTCGCTCGAACACTCCCAGTGCTACCTCATCATTCTGTGATAACGTCCATGCTTCTGCGCCATACAGAATCACAGGGAGGATGAGCGATCTATAGAGTATAGTCGCCAGCCACTACTCGCACATTTCTACCAGTAGCCGACATATACTTCGTTTTGCCATCATTCACCGCTAAGCTCATTCTAAGGCAGCTGTAACGTCATAGTTGCTATGCACAATGATGTCAATGTCGTCGGCGTAAGTAAGGAACTGCACACATTTGTAAAATATTGTTCCATTACGATGAAAATATGCCCTGCACATGATTACTTCCATGATGAAATTGAAAAGATCACATGGTAAGGGATCAATTTGTCTGATGCCTCGCACGGTATCAAAAAAATACGTGCAATGTCTCGTATCGTGCTGGACACACTATATCTTATAACCAGTTACAAATATTTGCGTGACTGACAAGCTCCTATAGGACATTTTTAATATGTCTTTGCAATGCCGAACTCTTCACTCTCTCTTTAATCGTCCATTGGACTATGTGACACGAAGCCGGTACAGACTATCTATTTGCGCAAATCTTCTGTCAAAATCTAATAAACTGTTATTTTCAGTATCCCAGTTTGCACAAAACAATTTTAGAGTTTCTTGATATTTTGTTCATTTCGAATAATTTTTGGTAACTGTGCCTGGTCATCGTCTTAATGATCCACATGATTGTCACAAAATCGGCCCTAGCAATGAAAAATGTATACGTGGAATATGCAATTGTTTCCATATACATTTAAATTTTCCATTTAAACTTTCTACTATTCACTATTGAAATAAAAATATGTTAATATTATTTTTTTCTTTTTTAATCTTCTTATTTTATATGGATTGAAGATTTGATTATTTCATGTAACGATATTTGAACATATGTCACTGGAGAGAAATTAGACAATTAAACATTTGTGTCATTATCCAAACCTATATGCCATTACGGTCTCTTTACTTTCTCATTCGCGAGAATGGCAGAATTGAGCCTTCCTAAACGGACGTTCTTTGTGCACTGTTTAATGGGAACTTCTACCTAAAAGATTATTTTTCAAGTGTGATATATGGTCAATGTCTCATCCGTTGTATTACAACAGACCGTTAATTGTGCTTAAATAAGCTTTGATGTACAAAGCTGGCACTCCGGCCTAAGTTAACCTACTCCTACTGATACTTAAAGAAATCAAATAATGTTTTACATAAAATAACTTTGAGCAATAAAATTTTAGGAAATAATTGAACCACTGCTTAAAGAATTCGAATATATATACATATCTCTACTGTCTCTAATGTCATTATTTTTCTATCTAACTCTTCTCTAATTTATTTCCTTAACCTATAGAAGGTACATATTTTAATATATCTATTACATAAATGCATGTAAGAAATAAAATTCTGATTTAGTTTTAAATTTCTTTTATTTTTTTCACATGTAAACTAAAAATATTTAAGCAACTGGTAAATGAGCACCGGATGGTTGGAAACCGTTTTCATCAGCAACATAGGTGACTGTGTATTTTTGGCCATCCTTAGCTACCCAGGAGTATGATCCATGAACAACAATAGCTTCGTGATCAGTGCCAACATCCTTCAATTTACCATCTTCAACCTTTGATGTACCATCACTGGTCTCAAGACTATAAAAAGAATTATATTTGTGTTAGTTATATTCTTTCATATCATTCCCATCATTCCAATAGTTGTACTTACACATAGTTGTAGGATTCTGGTTGCACATCAGATTCCAACTTCAAGATTTCAACATCGTTGGGACGAGCCAACGCTACAGCGAAGAGAGCGGCTAAAACAATGACGAATTTCATTTTGTTGGATTTGTGTTGTTCCTTTGAAAGTTCACTACTTAATGGATGCTCTAGAAATGCAGATTGGTTACTTTTATACCAAAATTTTAATCTGTATTTCGATATTTTAAATATCATAGGTAACCAAATTAAAACGGAGAAAGCAAATAGCGAATTTCATGTTATGCAGAATAATATTTGAACTAGAAATGCAGGAAATATAGAATTGCATACCAGTTCTTCAACTAAAAAAAAGTAGCACCGAAATTATTGAGCTGAAGAGAGCGCTTGGAAGTATAAGAGAATTTGATTTAAATTCTCTTCTACTTCAACAAAATTCTTTCCCCAATCGAAATTTTTTATAATTTATTTGTTTTATTTTGTGCATAGAAACAAATGTGCATACGTCATTAAAAAAAAAAAAATATTTTGTTTATAATTTTTATTTATAATCAGAAAATCTTTAAGATAAAATTTGAAACCGAGTGTATTTGAATGGAAATAAAATTGAATAGTGATTTGCGATATTAAGATTTTTTAAATTGACAGGTTCTTATGTATTTTATTTCTTATTTAAATTAAATTAAGTTGAATGGAATTAATATAATTATTAATATTACCTTAAACCAAAATCAATATATAATAGCTTATAATGTTTTTTCAATGTTTCAAATTCACTTATGCTTTATATGTATTTGATATCTAATTACAAAAATCGTTTTTGCATCTGCATCTGTATCTATGTTATTTGAGTTCATCTGACTATATTTGAAGTCAATACATTAAGTAGACATTGCTCTTATGTGACTGGTTTTCAGTGTCAACTTTGTGTTCTACAAATCAACACTTTGCTAATTAAAAAAGTGACTTAATATTATATTTTATATACTGAAATAAATATTACTTAATTTGTTTTTATTTTCTGCACATCTGGAGAGGAATTACCATTATCACAAAAACAAGTTTATAACATATTACAGTTAAGATAATTATCATTATAAAGCAACCAAATTGCAATTATACGTTACTGCCTAAAACTTAACAAATATTTTATATATATATCATTTGAATAAAAAAAAAAGTAATTAAAACTTCAATAATTTTAGAGTATAAAAGGCTTCTGTGCTGCTCTTAATGCAATCAGAAAGTAATTAACTTGGATCGGCAGAAACTCAGTAAAATGAAATTGCTCATCGTTTTCGTAGCTCTGTTAGTTGTTGCCTTAGGCGCACCAAATGATGTTGTCATTGTAAAATCGGAATCGGATGTGCAACCGGAATCCTTTCATTTTGCGTAGGATATGGACTCATATAAACAATATCCAGAATTTTCACATTTTTTTTTAATTTTAAGCGTTGAAACTAGTGATGGTAAGCAGCATCAGGAAGATGGCCAAGTTAAGGATGTAGGCGGTGAGCATCCCGCTATTGTTGTACACGGCAGCTTTAGCTACAAGGACGAGCATGATGGCAAAGTTTACACTGTCAACTATGTTGCTGATGAACATGGCTTCCAACCAACAGGTGAACATCTTCCACAATTGCCAAAGGTTGTTTAAGTAGTTGTTTTTACTAGTAATTTGATTAAATATTTGTAAAATATGTACTGTTTTTTCTTCGATTTTGTTACCGTGAAATAAATAATTATATGAACAGCAAAATAAATTGCAATAAATGTAATACAATCTGTTTGATTTTAATATAATGACTTCTAAAGTGAGTCTTAAAGTCATAAAAAGGATTTTTATTACTGTACATCTGGCTTCGTATCTGTTGACGGTTTCAAGATTAAATCACCAAAGTAAGATAAAATAAAAGATAAACAAGAAAAAGAAACTAATTTAGATTGGCAATAAAATTAGAGTATACCATTCTAAGTTAAGCTGTATGCGTAAAATTCCCTATTATTCTCAGCCCAGTCCATTCAAGCACATTACTAAACCACGACATCTGTTTATATTCTATACCGAGTTTTCCTACCATTTTCTCATGTTTAGTACTACAAAAGATATACTCCAAATAAGCTACTTGCGGCATTTAGTCATTTAAGCAGAGTCGTCTTAGTACTTTGCCATTCATTTCATAATCCCTTTTAGCTTTCTTTGTAGTACAACGGTAGCACTATATTTCAATATCTTCAATTTTGTTTATTGTTGTAATTCCTAGTGTCCATGTTTCCAATCTATACAATAATGCGAACCAGCACAACATTTCATGTATCGTAGCCGTAGTTTTTTTGGTTGAACCAATTTATTGTATTTACAATATTCTGTGCCTTGACTTCATACAGTGACTTTCACGGTCTGAAACATTTCGTTTGATGTTGATGCCAACATTCTTTTCAGCTACTATATATTATCCTAAAGACAATATGAAATCGTTTATTTGATCTGTACTTTATAAGAATTGCGAATGGTGGACAAATGGATTTAATAATAGCTGTGATTTTTTTTCATCCTCTGAGTGTACCTCATTTGAACTGTGCTAACAGATAAGTTTTTATATCCGAAGAAGACGGATGAAAATATTAAGAAATATTTTGCAAATTTAACAATTTGCTAAATACCGACTTCTTTAATGGTTATTAAATAGTATCCATACAGTTACCACTTTCGAAGAAATTGTTCTATGCAAATACCTCTTAAAAATATAAAGAACTTCTCCTGACAAATGACCTTCAAAAAAGGGAAAAAGCTTTTCAACCTGTGGGTAAGACTACGGTGCACTTATGACCCAACTATAAATATGATTGACTACTTTGAAAAAAGCAAAACAATGATTAAGAAATATAAAGCGATGCTTTTAAGCAGTTTAAAATATATAGTGAACTACTCCTGACAAAATAGAAAAATTGCCTTTATCTGATCTTTTGGTTTAAACGATATTGCTTGTTACGAAGGAATTTCAAGCGAGATAATTTAAAATAATGTTAATAAAAGTATCAGATTCACAAAATACATGTGTTTCAATACTTCTATATAAATACAAGTCATACACCGAAAGCCGTTCAAATATGCGTTAATATGAAGAGAAATACTACATGTGTAGTGTCATATTTACAGACATGTTCGTTATTTATTGAATTATATACATTTCACATTATATACATTACATATGATTTAGTTTTATGAGTATTTGACAAATTTATTACTATGACTATCAATCTAAAATATTTAAGCCTTTGGCAAGTGGTCACCTTCTGGTTGGAAACCATTTTCATCAGCTACGTAATTGACAGTATATTTTTGGCCATCCTTATCAACCCAAGAGAATGTACCGTGTACAACAATAGCTTCATGGTCAGTGCCAGCATCCTTCAATGTACCATCTTCGCTGTGTGATGTACCATCGCTGGTCTCATAGCTACAGTAGTAAGAAGTGTGATATAGTGTCACCAAATTTTACAAAAAACACTTTAATTTATTTAAATTTGGTTTAATTGAATTAATTAAATTTAATTAATTTAATTTAATTTAAAATGAAATTATTTTTAAATGAATTTTAGCGACGCTGGTGCAATAGGTCACCATACTTACGCGTATTTGTAGGACTCCGGTTGCACATCAGATTCCAATTTTACGATTTCAACATCACCTGGACGCGCCAAAGCGACAGTGAAGAGAGCGGCTAAGACGATGATGAATTTCATTTTGTTGATTTATGTTATTCGTCTGCAAGTCAAAAACTTAATGGTTGCTTTCTTTTGAAATGCGCTTGATTTTATACTCTTTCATATTTTAGATGTATATACTGTGAAGCGTAATTATTTTTTTCATTTTAAATATTTTTAATGCATATGTTGTATGAAACTCTCAATTTGCATCTTTAAGTCTCTTTTTTCTAAAATTACTAATTTTATTTTAAATTAAAATTAATTTCAAAATCCAGTTCGGTGAGATATTCTTTGATTAATTGTGCTAATTTTAAAAACTTAGAATTCAACCAACTATACACAAAAATCGCCTTGCACCGTCGTTAAGTACAATAGTTTTGTATGTATTATTTGTATTCACTGTAGTATTAGCCATTTATCTAGTATTTATGTTTCTTTTTTTCTAATTCAATGTTTCTCACAATATATTTGAAGGTGTTAATTGACTAATTTAAGTACAGGTGTGATTAAAGTCTAAATATGAAGACAAGATTAAGAATGAAATATTGTATTAAACAAGTGTATGGCAAATTATTTATTTAAAAATCAAAAAAGAAGTTTTTTGCGTGTTTTTAGAATATAATATGAATTAATATTAAAAAAAATAAGTAAAGTAATTTTAAGATATCAAATGGGTATCTTTGATTCTTAGATGAATAAAAATTCTGTAGACAATGTCGCCTAAAAATATGCAGCACTTTATTATTATTATTATTTTTATTTTTTTATATTTTTTCACTAATCAATTGTATCTTACATTTGTATGCATCTCTTCTACATGGTTTAATAACTTAAATCTACAATACTAAAATTTTTTAAGATGTTATCTACATTTTAAAAAATATCAGTACATTTCTAGTTATGTATATTCAGGCGCTTTCTATGAGACAAGAGATCATTAATAATAAATCATGAAATTGATTATATAAATTTTACATTATCGTTTGGGTCTATAGATACACTGAGCTTAAGTTTGGAAACCATTTTCTTTTTCACTGATAATTAAGATGATAATTAATATTAATTGTAAGAAAATTAAATTATTACGTGCTTACATATATTATACATCAGTACTATATATACAACTGTAAATCAAATATCTGGCATACTTAAAACATCAACCTAGTTTGAAATATTTTCTATTTACTATATATTGTTATTATCACCGTATATTCCGATTTAGGATAAGCTTCAGTTTTCTTCTCTCTCTCTCTTTCACTCCCCCTTACTGCTTCCTCTCTCTTTCACTCACTATATTTGTGTTTGTCTCTCCACCTCTCTCTCTCTTGCTAACGCTATGATCATTGAAGTGGTACAATTTAGTGCTGTTCACGTTATTCGAATTTTTTTAAAAACCAAAGTTCTTCGATTATTCGAATATTCGTATTTCAACGAAGTCTTCGAAGTTGGAAAAAAATTTGAATTCGAAACAAAGCAAATGCTTTCATCCCTCAAATAACTTGTATGACGCACGTTTGTTTGCATTTTGTGCTCTCACTTCAATTTTTGCTTACGAAGTCTTCGGAGTTTTTCACTGCACTTATACTTCGAAGACTTCGAGAACAAAAATTTACAAAAAATTCGAATTTTTTTCCAACTTCGAAGACTTCGTTTACTATTCGAATATTCGAATTCTTCGAATACTTCGTAAATTCGAATACGAACAGCACTAGTACTAAGTTAATTATATGCTTCTTCATTAATCTTCGACATGTGACAGTAAGAATAAAGCACACTCTTTAGTTGCTATGAATAGCTACCACTTATTAGACTAATACAAAATGCCTACTTTAGAATTTTATGAATTAGATGACATAAAAAAAGTAAATAAGTTGTCAGTGGATTGCAAATGCAAGCTTTGATCGGAGGATTTCTTTTCCTGCACCTGTAATTCCATTATCCAGATTTATATCTGCACAAAAGTGATGATCTTACGATTGTGTTATTTTTCTTATTATGGTTGTTTTAATTTACATATTTACATACTTATTTATTTCCTGTATATTAATTTCAGGAAATATTCAAATGTTTGTTAATGCTTAACTATGAACTTGTTTTTGAATATTTTCAAATACATGATTAGTTTCTGTCATTAAATATCTTCACTTTCTGTCATAACCACTATATTTTTAGCATGTGCTATAAACGGATCTAAGTGATTGTATTATATAAAATATTATTGAGAACAACACCCCGGCTGTGATTTCGAATTATTTCTTTCTGTTTAAATTTGATTTTTATAGTTATAGTATAACGGTTGTTGGCATGACAAACCAGAACCTTTTTACTGAAACTCAATTATATGTATATATATACATATGTTATACCGAAAACATATGCTCAAAATACATATGCTCAAAAACCGAAAACACTAAACAAACAAATTCCAAAAGGACCACAAATATGGAGCTGTTCTACGTAAAGCAATATCAACATAATTCAACTGTCTCAATATAAGGTCACCAAGACCATTCTCAATGCCATACGTTCATCCATATTCATCGAGACCTCATGACTCTATTTGTTCATAAAGGTAGAGAACATACCATAGGTGAACCCATTTTGTGGCGGTTTAAAAGGCTTCTTTGCTTACTGCAACAGTTTTTCAATTTGCAAGAAAAAAATTAAATTAATTGATTTTAATTAAAAACATTTATTTTGTAAAAACAATTATGGCAGTTTCATTCATCTTACAAACTAAAACAAAACAAATCCGTGAATCTGTTACACGACTTAGGCTTCTGGAGCAACTGGTAAATGAGCACCTTGTGGTTGGAAACCATTGGCATCAGCAATATAGTTAACAGTGTAGGTTTGGCCATCATCACCAACGAAGCTGTATGAGCCTTTAACTGAGATTTCTTCGTGATCACTGCCAATGTTCAAGAGTTGACCTTCAGCATCATGAGTGAATCCGTCACTAGTAGAAACGCCGAATTTGAATCCTTCAGGTTGAACATCAGAATCGAGGCGAGTAATTTCAGCATCAGGACGAGCCAAAGCTACGGCCAAGAGAGCAGCGAATACAATGACGAATTTCATTTTGTTGGTTAGTGTTGTGTTTTGTTTGCAAGTTGGAAACTTTGTGAATACTCTTCTTTGGTAAGCAGCGATTTATATATGAAAACCGAAGTTTGAAATATCAATGTCGATATTGGTTTCTTACTGCATATATTAAATTCTATTAACATGCATTGATGCCCCTAATGAATACTCTAAAAGTGAATTAAATTAATTTTAATGAGATCGGCGCTTTAGTATGCAAAGACCCAAACTGGTAGCAGCATTGTCCAGTTTTTTAACCTTATGACGTTTGTGCTCGTTGAGATGCTAATGCAATTGTTAGCGTGCAAACCACAATGATATGAATAAAATAGTAATAAACAATCATGAATTATTAAACTATCGCATTTATTAATAAATATGTAAACCAAGCTTTTGAAGTATTAATTGTTAAATACTTTACTAACTGATTTGGCCACCTATAACCATATTAAGAGCATTTAGTTGTCTTATTTTTACAAAAAACATCTGTAGCCCTTGTAATAATTTAAGTACTGTAAAGTGTGAGTACGGTTAATAGCTAGAAATGTTATTTAATTGTAATATAATGAAATAAGTAATAATTATTATTATTAAGTACAAATGATTATTATTTACTAATTGCATTATGAAGATATATACTCATGGAAAGTAAACTAAGAAAGAAAATATTCTTATAGCACGCATTACTTTAACAAGTAGAAACAAGGTGATAGATAGGTAGAGTAAGATATCTAAGCCTAGGTATAAACTTGATAAATCTGTAGCGATTCTAGACTACAGAGTCATAAGGCAAATTATGACGGTACTCATTACTTGTAAGAAATCGTTTCACCAGCATTGGTAAAACGATTTGCGCTCCAAACTAATACTTTCACAAAATTGTATGAGTTTTTGAGTAAGTTAATCGGTTAAAGGAACTATACACTTACTGGATTCGTAGCCAGCAATGTACTATGGCTTTCAGAAAAAATGCTAAATCGACTCTTTACCACTATATTGCCATTATACTTAATTAATCGAACATTAATCATAGTATTTGTGCTACTTCACATGAAATTAACCACATTCTAACTGTAAGCATAAGTGAGATACCCCACATTAAAAAATGAGAAATAAAAAGAAGTGCAGGAAGTATGTGTGATCGGAATCAATCTACATTGACGTCCGCAACAAGCTGCATTCTCTGCACCGATGTTGAGCATAGTAGTAAATTAACTGTTTGTAGAACGTGAAAACAGTAGTTTATCATTTTAAACTTTTGTTGATAACATAGTCATAATAACATCCTCAGGGACCTTAAGATTGATCCCATCAAAAAATACATAAGGGATAGAGCCATGAAATTATTTGCGAAAACTGAATGGTTACAGGCTCCTCGGGAAGGTATGCAGAATTGAGGTCAATTATTGCTTAGTCTGATGAAGTGATAAACAATAATCCAGTCAAGGTGTAAAGAGGGGTTTTGAAAATACCTCGAGTTAAGAAAGAGTAAAACTGTTTAAATGCAATGGCTTAAATAGCTTCAACATAATAATATGCAGAGAAAAATAGATACGGTATAATACGGTAAAATAGATACGGTAAAACAATTGACAGACAACTGAAACTAATGCAAACATGTTGTATCAGGGGACAATTATTATTAGTTGTAAATAAAAATGGCACTCGAATCTTATCAGGTAGCATTAAAACTGATAACGTGTTGCCAAGAAAAGCTGAGCATAGTTGTCTAAAGCAGTCAAGTGCGGGTTCTATGCGTTCCAGAGCTTGTAGAAATTGAAGAAACTAAAATGTTGAACAAAGTTACAAGGAATAAAGTAACTGGTTCGCTTTTGCTTTGAAAAAAATATATATCTCCACATCATTATCATTAATAAATTATCTGTTATAACAGGAATTCTAAATGGACATTGTAGGTTAAAGTATTACCTAAATAAACTGAAAATCTTTTCTAATGGAATCTGTAATAGGGCAAAATAAGTTTCAAGGAGATATATCTCTATTTAATATTTTAATAATAATGTTGCAATTTACAATTCAAGTTCCGAAGAAAGGATTTTATAATAGTATTTATACAAGCATATTCCTAATGTCCCATTGATATTCATAATATTCTAAATGAATTATCTTGAATATTTAATTGCAACACCCTGTACCTATTTCAGCTTCAAACAATTGCTAGTTACTAAGTTAACATTTGACTGTTGACTTTTCAAAAACCTAATTTTTTAATATGACAATTTAATAAATTGATTAATTTGACTTCCGTCGATGATGATGACGTTCAACCTGAAGCTGAAGCTGATAACCTTTGCCAAAATCATGTTCATCCAAAACATCAGTTGGTAACTATCTCACCAAGCCGCGAGCACAGACTTACTAAAAGCCATTTATGCATAAGTAAATACGTCTTTATGCTTAAACCGGTTACAATAAACTAAATTCAACAAATGAAATAAAATTTCATAAAGTATTCAGCATATCTTTAAGATACTCAAAATTATAATAAGTTTAAATTTTAAGTAAATTTAATTATAAAGTAATTTCGTCTTAAATTAGTTAATGGTAATCACATTTCGCAGAGAGCAACCAACCGTGAAAAGAATTTGGTTTTAGCGATTTTCTACAATTGTGCATTTTCTACTTTTTATTATATATATTATATATTTTACTATTAATTGTTTTTATTATTTAATTAACCGAAAACCAAAAAAACAAGATTGCAAATAAGCATTGTATCTGGTAGCCGCCACCCAAGCCAAATTCCGAAACTAGTATGGCAATTAACGAAATTTTAAATTTCAAATGAAGCATCCGATGCCAAAAAATACATAAGTTTTATTAGCGAATTATACAAAAAAAAACAATTTTTTTTAAATTAAACTAAAATATTTTAATTAGCAAAAATTATGCAAATACCAAAAACTTAAAAATAAAATTATAGTAAAATTTAGAAAAATTAAAATGTGAAACAAATTTAAAAAAAAATGCTATGCGAGTTTATACAAAAGAACTTGCACTAAAGATATTGGAATAATTTTATAATTCAGTTTAAAATCTCATATTTTAATTATTCGATGCAAAAACTTGAAACAGTTTCGTTTCAAAACTAGCGCACATTTTAGACAAATTGAAATGCATATTTTAACCGAGATTTCGTCGAAACACTCGTAATTATGCAAAACTTAACGTATAAAACGGATTGCAAGCATTGCAACAGCATCCACTAAGTTTTGAACTTTCTAAGGAAACACAACACAACACAACTCACATCCGACAAAATGAAATTCGTCATTGTATTCGCTGCTCTCTTGGCCGTAGCTTTGGCTCGTCCTGATGCTGAAATCACTCGCCTAGATTCTGATGTTCAACCTGAAGGATTCAAATTCGGCGTTGCTACTAGTGACGGATTCATACATGATGCTGAAGGTCACCTCTTGAACGTTGGCAGTGATCACGAAGAAATCTCAGTTAAAGGCTCATACAGTTTCGTTGGTGATGATGGCCAAACCTACACTGTTAACTATATTGCTGATGCCAATGGTTTCCAACCACAAGGTGCTCATTTGCCAGTTGCTCCAGAAGCTTAAGTTGTGATGTACTGTAATGTGTTAGTGTAATTTTTTTTTAAACCAAACAAATGTAAATAGAAATATGTAAATAAAACGGACGTCTATAAAAAAAAAGAATTTAAATATTACTCTAAAAACTAAAGAGTGAACTCGAATTCTATTAGCTGAATATTGATAACGAATACTGCTTACTATTACTTACTATTATTGTTATTAATGTTTTTAAAACATAAAACAATGCATTGTATAAAAAATTCTTAAATTCATTTCGTGTTATATGCTAACGTTTATCCTTTCAATTAAATATGGTAACTACTATAACTTTTACTCTAGAAAGATCACAAACCACTTAAAGACTAAATCGATTTAAGTTTGAATTATTCGTTTTCAAAGTGCAGTCATTAATTACTTATTTACATCAAATTATTAAGACATTAAATATTTCTCTTAGGAATAACATGTTTCTTGGAGACATTAATTGATTTCGAGGTTTATTTTCTGGTTCATGTATATGTAATTTATTGTAGAAAATGATACACATAGTTTTTTTTAGTCCCTATTTTCTTTCATAAACATATTCAATTGAGACGGAATACTATCATTAGCTCAGTGATTAATACTGCCTTTTCATTCATTATGCCTACGTGAACATATTCTATTGAGACAGAATGCCAGAATCTTCGAGTCTTTTTCCTTTAGTTGAGGCATTGAGTAAAAATATTACTCAATGGTTGAGGACAGTATAATACCAGAGCAGTCAATAAGTTCGCCACATCTAAGACCGAAAGCTAAAGAAATTAGAAAAGGTTTATTACTCTTCTTAATATTATTTTGTCTGTATTTATTCCCGAAAGCTGGAAAATTTAGAAAAAACTTGTTACTTTTCTTACGAGAGTCTCTTTAATGAATTAAAACAGAATGGATAAAAAGAGAGCAAGAACATTCTTCATACTCAAGATATCACAATTTCAGAATCTTAATTTAGTTGTTGCAAATGCTGGACAATAATAGTCAATGAACTTTGAGCAAGAGGGCTAAACAATCCGTCAATAGATTGGGAATAAGAATGTGGTCACCACGAAAACGAAAAATGAAAAAATGAGCTGACCAAAGAAGAGATTCTATATAAGTACTGAAAGGTTCTTATTAATATTAAATTAATTAATCAGATTAAAATTAGATTAATCTGTTAGATATTGATAGTGTGATAATTGTCTAAAAGCAATGAATCTGAAAAGTTTCAGACGCAGCGTTGCTTTGAGTTTAGTCAAATTGAATAAATCTAGGTAGATCGGAATAAAAAGATCCGATATATTTTTAAACATATATAAAAACACATAATTAGTTTTAATACAAGTTATTATGTGAAATGACTTATTTTTTTTGCATATCCATTCTAATCACACGTCTTAATATTCACGCCATTTATTAGAAAAATGCGTATTAATTAAAATCATTTTTAATTTATTGTGATAATTTGAACTAACGAAATTTTTAAACAAGAAATTAATGAAATCGAAAGTATTTGAAAGTAAAAATATATTTATATATTTAAACATTTTTGTTAATAAATTAGCAAGGCAAATAAATTGTGAACTTTGTTTAGAAAATCTTTTCCTTTGTAAAGGAAAAATAATTTTAATTAAACTTATCAAACGAATATGTAAAAACTTCTACCAAAATATATTCTTTATTGATGGTAACAGTGATATGATATAACTCACAAAGCTAACCCTAATTCTAAAAGTGTAGTGGGACAATACTACGAACAGTATAGTATAGTATACATATATTGTAGTTAAGATTGCTGTAATCCTATTTTGTGTCATACTTGTCATTAATTTACCTTTCTGGAAAACAATAAAATTATAGAAGAAGGCGAGCGGTATTAAATTATGGATATACACGTGTGCATCTGGTACATGGAGCCGGAAGTTTTTATAATTACAATCAGTGACGGAGCTAGACTAACTCTGCACGTCGGCGACATCAGAATTGCGAGGCCCCCTTTATAACCCAGTTGAAAAAGTAAAAAAGTTACATTCACTAATACGACAAAGCATGATTGAAAGTTTTATTGATAATCAAATTAAAATAAATGAATTGCTATTTTTGCTTCAATTTATAGAATTTCCAATGGAGATAGTCTCTTTTGGATCATCATACTTTTCTAGTACGTCTTAATCAATTTTAACTTTGCTTCTTTTTTTCCGTCGAAGCTATACTGACTGGAACTGTGAACATGAATCTGGTCACTATATAAACATTCGGGAATACTTCGAATATGGTTAACGCCATTATCAAGCCAAATTGTTCAAAATATTTAGTAAGTGCTTAGAATCCACAGTCAACAATAATGAAAGTGATATGATGGTAATTACTATCTTTTTTAATAATATATTATTTATGAGGACAATAATAATATTAAGATAGCAACATTTATGGTATATTAAATTAATATACTTTCTAAGTATAAGACTGCACCATTCTAAAAAGTTATATATGTAGAAAGAGTTACTGGAAGTTGTACTTAAGTAGCTCACAACACTCTTTCATATCCATTTGAGGGTGATATATGTGAATTGTAGAAGATTAAGTTTTTTGTGTTTATGGTTCATTTATTTTTATTCAAACTTTTCATTTATTAATTATTATAAGTAGCAATCCTTTTGACTCAATTAAATTATCTTTTTCCTTATTATTATATACAATTGTTGTAATTTTGTTTAATATTTGCGATCATTCTTTGATGATATTTGAAGATGACTTACTATGGTTGACCTATATAGAATGCATTGTAAACACGTAAGTTATCTTTCGAAGTTATAAATTATATCAACAAAAGCCTGATAATTTGATAAGTAAGTTAATTGGCGCTAACGTCTTCAAAGGTCAAGCTGCAATAGAATTAAAAACATTAAAGTTTTATTTACTTAACATAATGAAGTGATAGTTAACACCAATAGCAACTTGCGTTAATAAAATAATTATATACAATTATTTTACTTTAGAGTGTTCTCGAACTAAAGTCATTCTCGGCACATTGGAAACGTATTCAGTCTAAAGCTGGCGGCAGATTACTTTCAAAACTTTAGAATAATTTGCATATTTCCAATCTTGCGAAGACGTCATGAATTTCATTTCAATATCATTACATTTCTCAATCCAACATTTATAATTTGAACAAACTAGTGGTAGTAGAAAAACATAATTTCTAATTATGTTTAAAAAATTATTAAATAGATACTGTCATCTACTGTGGTCATCTGCAGAAAAGAAAATAATAAAAAGAAGATAACATAAAATTTGTGGTTTCTGCAAACGAGTTCCAATAAAACATGTCAAACTTACGCACCGGTTACTTAACCAAAAACAAATTTATAGGAAATATATAGTCAATCCATTGTCTTGTTTTGAAACTATTCTGGCTGTATTACTATTATTATTTATTTGGTTTTTATTTTTTTTTTTTTGTTCAATAGGTAACTTTTGTCCAAAAATTATCATTTTTGTGGTATATAAAAGGTTGCTCAATTTTTAGATAATCATTCAAGTTCTAGCTTTGTTTAGCCAAAGACAAATCAAAACCAACACTTTTCAAAATGAAATTCGTTATTGTATTCGTTGCTCTCTTCGCCTTCGCCTTGGCTGCTCCAGCTGATGTTGAAGTTTTGAGATCAGAATCCGATGTACAACCCAATGGATACAAATTCGCTCTCGAAACCAGTGATGGTTCATCTCGCACTGAACAAGGAGAATTGAAGAATATTGGTACCGATGAGGAAGCTATTGTCGTCCGTGGCTCATACAGCTGGGTTGCTGAAGATGGTCAAAAATACACCGTTGACTTCGTAGCTGATGAAAATGGTTTCCAACCACAAGGCAAACATTTACCAGTAGCTTAAATCTAATTTTTAAAAACACTGTTTAGTTTTTTGCAATCCTTTTTTGTTTGTTTGTTTATAAATGTTAAAAAAAAAATAGAGTATTAAATTGATTTTTGTACATAAATGAAGTGTTTTAATTTTAAAATGATTTCAGCTTAATCAGATAAAAAACACACATAAAACTAATAATTACAAAACTATATAAATTAATAGCTAATGAAGATACATATATATGATGTCGTACATACAGAAGATCTCCCATCGGTTTAGTGCCCATCTCAATTCGGAGTTATAAATCGGTAAATCTATATACTACATGTGTGTAATGTATATATTTTATCTACAAAATTTCATTTAATAATCCGCAACGGTTAGCAAAAATCTGGAATAGGGATAATTAACATAATAGTCAAATTACTCTGCATAAACTGACAATTTAAATATTCTGAAGATTAGCTAATCCATTAAACAAGGAAACTTAAGATATTCAAAAAACATTCTAAATATCCAAAAAAACCGGAATAATTTTAGTATACTAAAACGTTATAATGAAATAATAAAAAACAGCCTATAATTAATATATAATTAAATGGTCTCAAGACATCATGATTATCATTATCACATATATAAAAAATTTTTATTGTATACAAAAAGATATATAGAAATATGTATCGATTAAAAGAACATCTGAAAATAAGGTGATTAGATGATAAGTTGGCTTAGATGATAAGTTGTTAAAATTTCATCAGAAACATCTCTATTATTTCTTAATAGTGATGTGGCATAGGTTTCGTAAAGAAGGAAGGAAACTAGTTTTATAATCAAATAATTTAAAAAATTATTCTGAGATAGATGTGGAAAAGGAAATTTGTTGTTATATATAACACAACTGACAGAAAGTTAGTTCACAATTATATTTTTCTCAAATATTATTACAATGACAAATTACGAATCCGAATTATAAATCCTTTTCAAACATCAACTATAATGCGATATTTTAATGACAACTTCCACTTATCTCATAAGAGAAGAATATACATTCCATCAAGAAAGTAGTAAATAAGGACGATCATGTATTTCCAATTGTTGTACCAATTTAATCTCGTGAACAAAATTATATGATATTAATCCCGATTTTTAGCCCACAATATTTTTAAATTAATTAAATATTTGTATTAATATAGATATCGAATAATTTGTACTCAAATCTCTTAACTGAAATTTTTTTGCTGATTGACTATTGATTTTTTTTTAAACTTGATTTTCGATATATTTAAATATTTGAATTTTAATATATACATAATGTAATACGTATATGCCTCAGAAATCCCTTTATTCCTCGCAATATAATTTAATGCTTAGATTTAGTGCTTCTGTTGATACAAGCTATTCACATTAATTAATTTGCTTGTTGTTAGCTAAATTCTCACACTTTTCAAATGTTTATTACGTTGTTCATCGATTCAAAAATTATATTTTGCCTTATATTTCACGTTACTGCTATTATTAAATAAAATTTAATAAATTTAACTTTTAATTCATCTTATTATTATCACTTTTAGATGATGCAAATTTAAAAAAAAAGAGTTTTTAGATGGAATTCAAATAATACTAAATTTTGTACTTAGGAGACGATTATACTATACTTCCAATACATTGTATTTGGTCTATAAAAATATGAATTTTGTTATATTAAGTTAGTAGAATGGTTTATTGAAGGTACACACTACTTAAATATATTAACTTTATACAAATTTTTAACTTTTCCTTATTTTTTCAATCTTTCTAATATCGTATCTTATAAGCCAATAATATCATCAATACGCGTAGCGCAACATTTTAAATATTCAAAATATATGCATGTTTTATACTATAAAAATACAATGAATATTTTATATATTTATACAAATGTATCTTTATAATTAACATAATGCATATTAATTTGAAGTTTATAAATTAAGTATATTTTTAAAAAAAGCATTATTTATCATATACTAACCGTCTTCATAGCTCAGTTCGCAGCTATTATTTTGAAAGCCGTGAGTTTTGTATAGTTAATCACTACTTCTTCTAACATTATTTGTATTCCATTTGCAAAACAGGGGTTGAACTGATTTCTTCGATATGATGTGACCTTAGGATAATAAAATGTTTTAGCAAGGACATCTTCCTTTTACTAAATGGAGCTAGTCAAGTTTATTTTCCGGTTTTTTAGTCTAACACACGATCTCACTAAATAGAGTAATGCACTATTTGTTATGCCTGATTTTTATCCAATTGATTTATAATATAATCAAAAGCTTAGTCAAATACTTCTCACTAAAAATATTTGTCATTATAATAAGAGATGTTTTAATATTAAATGTGCTACTATTAATTAGAATAAAAATTTTAGTAACAATAATTGTCAAAGTGCTAGTCAAACTGAAAGTAGAACTTCCTGGATATGCTTTGTATATAAAAGTAGCAGTGATAGTAACAGTTTCAGTTAAAGTAGAAGTAAAAATTTTGAGATACCGAAACATTAAACTACTTAAGGTACATGTTGTTGTGCGGGGTAGGGTAGAAATATTAATATTAATGAAAGTATATTTCAACTCGATGGTATGTAATATTTTTTTACGATCTGTAATTACCTTTTATACTAAAGTTCTATTAAATTTCTATTTAAAGTTTCAACGAAGTTTGTTAATTATCATCCTATATGCTTTACATATAATGTACGAGGTAATGAAATAAAAATAAATAAATAAAATAAAATAAGTTTTCTTTTTTGGTCTTTTAATTTATTAAACTATACTACTTACAAACTAAATAACAATCAATTACTTAATTAATAACAATAAACAATTTAATGGAGTTTGGAAAATCAAACTTTAAGCGACTGGAATGTGTGCACCTTGTGGTTGGAAACCATTTTCATCAGCAATATAGTTGACTTGATATGTGACACCATCATCACCGATATAGGAATATGAGCCATGAACGGATATGGCTTCATCATCAGTGCCTAAATTTTTGACGACTCCTTCTTCCTGGAAACTTTTGCCATCGCTGGTTTCAACACTGTAAATGCAATTTTAATAAAATTTATTAGTGTTGTGTATGTGGTGTGATTCTCCTGGTCTATAACTTATCCTAATAACTGTATACTTACGCAAAGTTGTAATTCTCTGGTTCCACATTTACGTCATAGCGCAAGGTCTCGGCGTCACGATTTGGTGCAGCAATTGCATAGGCAAAAAGTGCAACAAAAATAATAGCGAACTTCATTTTTTCTAATATTAATTGGCTGATGTGGTGCGTTTGGAAGCTGTGAACTTTATGTTTGATCTTCAGTTGCATTGTTTGGTATTTATACTTGGGCGACATTAGAAAAAATTTTGGTAATATATATTGTAAAAATTTATCAAACATTTACCAATAGAGCTCATTTTTATGTTAATTCATGTAAAACATTTTATCATGTTAACATTTTAACGCATTCGAAGCTTAAATCCATTTAAAACTAGTTTAACATCAAATTTGAACTTGAAATTTTTGATATGTAAATGAAATTTTAAGTCGAACCAAAATAGGCTATCTTAACTTGAATTTAGTAATTAATTTTTGTCACCGAACTTATGCATATATTGTGTATTTTTAGTTCATCATTTAAATTTTCTTCAACGTTAACTCCAAAACTGAAATGAAGCTAAATATATGTATACATTTACAAGTATAATATCATTAATTAAACCATCATTAATCCATAGCAGTTATGTGGGGGAATCAATGGAACATTACAGTAATTTCTTATATTATCATATATTTAAATGCAGTGTAGATACATTGCTATAGACTTAAGTACAGTGCAGATACATTGCTATAGATTTAAGTACAGTGCAGATACATTGCTATAGATTTAAGTACAGTGCATATAAATTTATCGCTATAAACTCAAGCTCGGTAAAATACACCAACTTTTTGTACCAATCTTATAGTGATTGGGTAAAGTTCTCCATCATATAATGTGTATGTATAACAGATACAAGTGCGTCTAAGTAAGGATTGATTCGCCGAGCATAACAGTTTGTGGTTCAAGTTTGCATCTAATATGTTGAATTTCTTTCAGTTTTTATTATGTAGTATACTAAACCCATTCTATAGTCCTGAACAAATATTTTCAGTTCACCAGACAACGTAATAAATGTATATTTATAGTGCTCAGTGAGATCGTATCTAATTTGGGAATTTGATAATTAAAACATTGAAAAAATTTTTGATTCACAAAGCGCATGACTTTTTTATATAAATTTTAGAAAACTAATTCAATTGAATATAATGCTTGCACCTCTGTGTGTTCCTACCATTAGTTGTTTACTGGCCTCTTATATATATTATATATACATGTTAGTGCTTGCAAACTGCATTATTTTCTAAAAGGGAAAAGATAATATCGATATAATATATTGCCTAAATATTTAAGCTTATCTTACTTCTGTCGATTAGATGGGCACTTGACTATTTATGTAGATAGTAATTCGCACAACTTCGTAGACGTTAAACCTGTCGCAGATTTATTGTATAGTTTCATCTTCTCCTTTGATGTTTGCATTAACTCTTATGTGGATTAGTGGCAGCAACAATTCTCAAATGAAAATTATCACTGTGTTTAGCTGATTCTTAAGACTTTTCGTTGCTTAGCTGTAAATAGAGGACTGTAGCACCAAACATCTACAACTTTAGAGATATTAGACTGCTGCTTATAAACTGCGATGTGTCTTCCAAGCAGTAAAACTTCTCAAATAATAAATGTTATAGTGATAAGATAATTCATTAGACTCGTTGTTGTTAATTTATAGTTATAGGAATAGGTATAGCACCAAAATACCACAACTTTGAAGATTTTAAACCATTTTTCATTTAATATTAAGTTTTTATCTTACTTTTTCTTTTTTAACTAAGCTTCAGTTTGTATACCTAACACTGAAAATTTTCAAATGATAAATATTATAGTATTATAGTATATAAATATTATCTTATAATTCATAAGATTCTTCGTTGTTTAGCTGTTGGTGAAGGAGTACTGCATGAAACACTCACAACTGCAGTGATGTCAAGTTGTTGCATTTTGATACTATATTTCCAACTCTTCCATTGATTTTTAAGTCAACTTCAATGATATTCGTTGGAACACATTTTTCATCTAATACATAACTATTGTATTGATCGAGCAGTTCAATAAGATTTTATACTATTTAGTTCTAGGTCAAAAAACAGAACAAATTTTTTTTTCATTTCATGAAATAATTGTAAAATACGAAAATATAATTAAAAGTTTTAAAGTAGTCTGACTTTAAAAATTTAATTTCCAACTAATTTTCATTTTAATTTTATATTTGATATAACAAAAATGATGACTTGCTTGCTTGGCTGTGAAGACATCTTTTGATTTATACGTTTATATATAAAGTTCGCATTTTTAAATGAAATGAAAAAAACTTTTAATTGATGTTTTTTTGAATTTTATTATCATTTTATCTTAAACTAAAAAAATTGCATTTGTAACAAAAAATTACTCATATTTATGCTTCTGGAGCAACTGGTAAATGAGCACCTTGTGGTTGGAAACCGTTTTCGTCAGCAACATAATTGACTGTGTATTTTTGACCATCATCAGCAATCCAGCTGAATGAGCCACGGACGACAATAGCTTCCTCTTCGGTACCAACATTCTTCAATTCTCCTTGTTCGTTCTTGCTTGTGCCATCACTGGTTTCGAGGGCGAATTTGTATCCATCGGGTTGTACGTCGGATTCTGATTTCAAAACTTCAACATCAGCTGGAGCAGCCAAGGCGAAGGCGAAGAGAGCAACGAATACAATAACGAATTTCATTTTTGGTTGATGCAATTGTTTACTTGTTAGCTAACAGAAAACTAATGTTGTTAATCAGAAACTAAACTACGGTATTTATAGCAGTACCCGAAAACAAATTCTATTCAACAAAAAAACCAGATATCAAAAACTATATTTCGTAAACTAAATTATTAAATATTTCTTAGCCCTAAGATCTGGTTTAGTGGGAGCTTTTCTTCTCTAATAGCGTTTATAATCAAGATAGCATTGAATTCTATTTTCGGAAGAAATGCAAATAACCATGTTAGTTTATTGGCTTGTGACGTCGAAGACGCTACAATGTAGACATTGTATTAGACGTCGTAGACGCCAGTTAGTTTCATTTTACAAACTTGTATGTTTCAAGCCTTAATATTCAAGCCTTAAGTTTAAAACTTAAACAAAAGTTCTTGTTTTACGGAATTTGTAATGTAAAAATTATAAAAATAATAGAATCTTCAAATCTTCAAATGATATTAAATGTTGGTTTGAATTAAAATTAACAACTCATACGCACTGAACTAGTTCACTGCCTTCCGCTTATTTTATTGCCTTTGTGTATGAAATTTTATGGCAACTACGAAATTATAACGCGTTAGTTTCGCTGTTTTGTATTAATCTTCTTCTTTTTTGCAATCGAACTGTGTGAATGTAAATTAACTTAAACATAAAAAGCCAAATAAGAGTTAATTAAACCGGAATTCTGTAGCTGAGCAAAATTTTTAAACCTTAAGCATTTTGATATAAATTAAAATTGTCACCTTCTTTCACAATCATAAGTTCCTCAAGCTTCTTCAAGCACACACCAAAAATCACCAAAAACAAAATGAAATTCGTTATTGTTTTCGCCGCTCTCTTCGCTGTCGCTTTGGCTGCTCCTCGTCCAGAGGAAGCCACAATCTTGCGCTCAGACTCCGAAGTTGGACCCGAATCCTTCAACTATGTGTAAGTAAAGAAATTCTGCTGAGATGGGTTTATCAACCTTTAGTGCTAACAATTATTCTCTAATTACAGTTACGAAACCAGCGATGGTGTTTCTGCTAATGCACAAGGTCAACTCAAGAACATTGGAAGTGAAAACGAAGCCATCAGTGTACAAGGCAAATACAGTTTCGTTGGTGATGATGGCGTAACCTACACCGTCACCTATGTTGCTGATGAAAACGGTTTCCAACCACAAGGCGCTCATTTGCCAGTTGCCCCAGAAGCTTAAGTTCAGTTTTTAAAGGACTTGCTTTAATTGTTAGGACTGTTTGTTACAAATAAATAATTTTTATGTGAAAAAAAATTTTTTAACAACTTTTGAATACTAAATGATAGGGTAAAGGGTGTGTATTGATTGGTTCTCAACTAAATTCGACAAATGATATTTTTTTAATGACAATTTCTGCAACTGTTCTGTGGGCTGTGGGAAGTTTTGAATTATCTTCACAATCATAATAATAGGGATATCTGTCTCTAAAATTCTTTAGTCTGCAAATATTATTCAAAAGACATTTCGTTTTTTTAGTTGTGTGTAGAGGACTGCACAACTAAACTCCCACAATTTCGGAGATATTAAACCGCTATATTTTGATACTATGTAACCGTCTATTTTAAATTAATTCATCCTTCTTACCTTATAAATATCATAATCATAAGACTCATAAGTGTGACTTTAAGACTTTTCATAGTCTATATCTATCAAAATAATGGTGTTTCTGTTCAAAGCTTTTTCAGACAACTTATGTGATTTAAAGGTTCTAAATGGTCTAAATTATGGTCTAAATGAGTCAATCATCCATGTTTTCGGCTACTGTAGTAACCTCATAAAACATGTAAATGCTTTTTCTAGTAGTTATAAACGCAAGTCGATGACTTATGGTAATTTTATTGATTACCTTAGTATTAATCCATGGCTATAGTTTGGCCAAATAGATACCGCGATATTATAAAAACCATAATGACAACATTCATAGTCTGCTTGAAAAACTAAATCGATTTGACGAAATTCATTTATTTATAAATAGATAACAGAAAACAGATGGATAGCTGTAGTGAATTGCAACAACATAATTTAATAATATTTTTATTTGAACTTTTGGCTGACCACACAGTTTCGAATATTGCCAAATACTCATTATCAATGGTCTTATTTATCAATGGGAATTATTTCTTATATTTGATTATTCGTTAATAATTTTTTTTAAACTGCAAGTACCAAGGGTTGAACTCATACTCTGCCAAATGTGAAGCTTAGAGTTAGTGTGCATAAGCCAACCGATCCGAAACCGTAGTTGACTTATATGTTCCCACTTTTGAAGTTTTTTGTAATGTGATAAATTCACTTTATCTGTTATATTAGACCGCAATCATAAACCAGCTATAGAATATTTAAATAATTTAATTATAGTTATTTTGAATTAATAAATTTCATTATTATTCTGTTGTAGAGACATTATTTATTGCATGATTTTATATTATTCTCTTTTATGTTTAGAACCTAATCTAGTAATCTAACGTAATAAAAGTCATGCTACGATTTATCCATTGCGACTATTGCATTTAAACGTCAGTTATGACAGTAGTGACTATTTTACTTAATAGAATCTATTGTATTTAATAGAGAAGCTTCGAACAGTAGTGAATAGCAACAACAAAAAAATTGAACTTTACAACTTAACTAAATTGAATTTCTTCTGATTTTATTCAGATTGAATTTGAAAATAAATATCCATCTTATGAAACGCTCATACGAAAAAGCTGCTGAAAATGAATCCATTTTTCATATACTTATACATTTAAGTTTATAATGTATTCATTTTTGAATGAATTCTGTTTTATAAATTTTTCAACATATGAATGTTGATGTTGTAATTAAATAGTAATTTAACGATTTTAATGACACGAAGTGCTGATAGGAGTAGTAAGTTTTGAATCGTACTACCCTTCTTGTCTGGCAATAGTATGTTTAAACTTTTTAAATAGGTCGATTTTTATTACCTTCTTCATAAAAGAAAAAAAAAACACAAAATCCCACCTCTGCATAAATTTTAAAAATATTAAAAAAACAAATATTAAGTATTTTTCACTGACTGAACCGATTTGAATTGTTTAGTTTTATTTATAGTATTATTAACTTATTAACGAAAGGGACAAAAGGATCATTAACTTTAACACATCACGACTAAACATAAAACCTAGGGCGAATCTCTTATAAAGTCAAGCAACAATTATTTTGGTATATGTGCTCCCTCAGGTTGGAAGCCGTTCTCATCTGAAACGAATGTCATAGTGTAGGTTACACCATCAGGCCCCACCCACGTCACGCTGCCAGTTACTGATATAGATTCATTTTCGGTTCCAACATTTTTAAGTACACCTTCCTCAGTCCGTATTGTACCATCGCTAAGCTTATAACTGTAATGTAATCAACACTTAATAATATTTTTCTAATATTGCAACTATTTAACATGCCTGAATTTGTAGCCATCAGGACCGACATCCGATTCATACTCAATAGTTTCAACATCCTTACCGGATTGTGGTGCAGCGCTACAAACAGCAATGAAGGTGCAAACAACAAAGACTAGCATCTAAAAAAAAATTAATCCACAATTTATTATCCTTAAAGTGCTGGAAGTATGCGATTGCTGGTTTACCAATTTCATGTCTGCAGCTGAGAAGAGTATTGTGAAGCACTGGCTCAAATTAATCCAAAGTGGTAAATATGCGATTGCACTAGCTAGCACCTACAATTGACGGCTACTTGTTTCTGTTAGATCTACTAAAAGAATAATTTCTGTTATGCACCGTGGATGCATTTATACGCTTTTGAATGCACATGCTGCATAGGTACATTAGAATCTGCAAATGTCATAATTTTTATTTTGATGTTACTTGTTTTTTTTGTTTTTTTTGTTCGCTGCGCTTGGTATGGCTTTTTCAATTTATTGTATTAACCTGAGCGCAGTGTAAAGTTTGAATTGCACTTAACTAATGTGAAGATTCTTGATTGGTTAAAGGTGGTTTGAGATACAAGTCAACTAACTGCAAACGATTAACGACAAACTCGTGCTGCCCAACTAGCGGCTGAGTAATGACCCGGCCACATGCAAGTAACATTTAAGCCAAGTCCGGCATATTTTGCAAAAATCATTGCCAGTAGTCGATGGCAAAGGTGCATTAGTTCTACGTGATTTTCCTCTCATTTTCAGTTTCTGTTTTTTTTCTATAGATTCCGGTTTTTCTATAGATTGCTTGTTTCTATAGATTTTTGGTCATTTTCCATACTTGTACTTTGTGTACTGAGTACTGAGTAGAACGCATCCATACTCACAGCCGCTAATTTTGTTAACCTCATGCGTGTCTTTTCTGAGCTTTATTCACGCTAAGTTCAAATCTATAATTTTGTAAATACCAAAAATAGTCAACAAAATAACTTAAAATTGCACAAAACTCGCTAATTTCACGTCTTCAGATTTTCAGGGGAAGTTGTTAATTTATTGCTGTCAGTACCTTCAAAAACGAGTAAATTTTGAAAAATGCCAACTGCAACTGAGTTCAACTGATAAATGCTATTAAGAAATCCAAGAATTTCTTTATTGATACTACCTCTTCATTCGCAATAAATCAGAGATTACATCGCTCTTTGATTTGCATTTTATAATTAATATTTAAACAGAAGGTTCGATGTTGACATTTAAAGTGCTAATGTCTCTAAAGTGGCCTATAAATAATAAAGCATCAAGCAAATCAAGACGCACAAAACTGGAAATCTACAATTAAAAGTAGGACCATAAAATGTAATTTCCACTTTTATCTATAATAAATTACAGTTGATGACAAATATCTTTAAACAACATAAGAGACAAAAAAAACACGATTTTTTAATAGAGAACTCCCAATAAATGTACAATGATTCCGACAAATTTGATTGACATTTAGTGGAGTAGTTTGTTTGCTATGTCTTTTATAGTGATTGCAATAGCAATAACTTTTTTTTATTTGCTATCGGTGTGTGACTTGAACCCACTAAAACCACCGAAAACCGCTTGAACCCGAAGATTTCCACAGCGGTGTGGAAACTTCACTCCAGTAATCATGGGAGAGAGATGAAAGCAGATAGGCTTATACCTAGTGGACTAGGTTCATCTAAGCCAGAAACCAAGGGCATAATTTAGGGAGATTGGGTGATAAATAGAAATAGTGATTTAACACTTCTATTAAATATTTTTCATATATAAACTAACAAAAAGAGAAGATAGACTTATTTGTTCAAAAGTTTTCAAAAGAGTTATAATTCTAAACAGTTATTTATACTGACACTAACATTACGCTATATCTCTACCTAAACTAAGTAATGCCTTTTCAAATTTTTGAATTCATTATTGTCAAAAAATAAAAATTTGGATAAAGTGTTTATATACGTGTAAAACCAAGTGCATCAGAAACACTTTATTCCTTCCCTTCCTTTTTTTTTTGTACCACATATTTACTAATCCATCCAATAGATTTGTATTTCTTAATATCGTCTGTAATTTCTAAGTGAACTTTGATGATTTATTCGTTCATATAACCAAATATCATTACTAGGTGCTTGACAGTATTTGAATATAGAATTTGATATTGAAGAGTTCTGAAAGGAAGATAAGATAATTTTTGGTCTACGAATTAATATAATTGATTTTACATTATCTGCTATTATTCTCTACTTTGAGTTGTCAATTATCAACATCATTTTAAAACACTTACGTCGCTGCATCAACTTAAAAAAGTATGAGTTTGGAAATATTTGTTTAAGACATGTACAGAAATTTTGTGTTGATCTTTGTTTATATCCTTAAGGTGAACATAGATTAGACAGATGGAGAGAAAGTTCTAATCCTAACTTATTTGAGAAGGCTTCAAAACTAACTGTGTTGTTTAATTTGAAGGAATTGAAGTTCAATTCCCATCTTATTTTGAAGTGCCTAACGAGATAGATTTTAGGAAAAGATTGATTCATCTAAGTTAAGTAGAATGACGCACACACCTTTTTCCATACCTGATGCAATGCAGGAAGAAGCATCTTTAGTATTTTTTTTGTGACTGCAGCAACTTCTGTTAAAAGCGTTTGAATCCAGTTTGGATCATGTGGACAGACTCTATATAGAAATTAAAATATTCAAATTTAATGTTTACCACCACCAAAACTTCGGTACTCCTGTGGAAGCAAAAAGGTATTAATATTTTCCTTGGCTAATATACAAGCATGAAGTCTACTTGTATCCTGAACGGCAAACGAACCTTTTAACTTTCACTTTAAGAACGTAGATCATATTGCCGCATGTCTACAACTTCTAAAGGAGGGCTATATCAAATCCTACCGATACCAGGTTATTAAATATGTTTATTGAGCTCAACTTGGAGTGGTATATGATTATTAGAAGGAGTGATTAAGAAATTATCGGCTTTTCTTTTACCATAGTTATATATTCGGCCTTCTCGCAATCAGTATAGTCAATGAGAATTTCTTCTTTGTTTCTTCTAGAATTTCTTCTAGAAAACACTTCATCATCATCTTGTAGGCTGTCTTTGTCACTCACTTCTTGTAATATCAAGGCCTGCCAGTCGCTGCGACCAATCCAGATGATTGGGTTTGGAAACCCAAAGGTCAGTTTGGGTTGAATTAAGTTAATTTATATACCTAACTCGTTTATGATTTTAGACGACTTAACTTTAAATTATCTAACATGTTTAGATAGTTCACTAATTGCGACATTATTTAAAGGTCATAATGATATAGATATTAATGAAAAATTTTAACTGACTTCTTCAAAATTAATGTTACAATTGTAGGAAATGTACCACACCATTTGTTTACTTATATATCAACGTCTGACATCTCTAAAAACTTTAGAAAATTATATAATTTCTCTCAGTAATTTCTTAATTTTTACTAAAAGCTGAAGATAGTTTTCAACTTACAGTAAATGAGTTAATCAGCGAAGTTATAATAGGTAGACAACTTAGATCATTATTTTTTACGAAGTTTAATAAACTTGAACTGATTTAACGGTTTTGTATTGTTGCATATATCATAAGGAGCAAATAGTCTGTCCCCCTTATAGATAACTCTGTTGCTGAAGTGCTCGTTTTGCTCAAATGATACCTACAGACCACATTAGAAACACAATGAAAGTTCTAATATCCCCTCTGCTCAGAGTAAAGTGTCGAGTAGAGATTGTTGTAGATTGGTTAAGTCTCTTGGCTTGTCTTTGACCTTAATACTTCATCTACCAGTTTTTAAATTCGGTATCATAACAATATTTGGTGTGCTCTCCGGCTGGCGTACAAAAAGGCTTAGTTCCGATTCGTTGACATTGAGATCCTCGTTTGGCGAAACAGTTAACTATTTCGTTGCCTTTGTGTTTTATGTTCAGGAATTCATCACAAGATAATCTTGTTACTTTAGTACAAAGTAAATCCAATGGGATTGGATTTAAAAAATTATATATTTTATTATTTAAAAAGCTTCTAAAGTGAATTTTTTTATATGGTATCTTATTTTAAAAAAAAAATCTTATTAATTATCATCAGTTAGTGGTGCAATCCAGTGAGTGCTTCGACTTTCTCTGCAAACTTAGTCTAACCTGAATAAAGCTTTCAATTTTTTCTATCCAAGAGTTTTTATCTCTTTATCAATATAATCGATTGGTCGTGTGTATGGACATCTTATGTGTCTAGTATGTCTAATAGCCTGTGTTTTAAAACTATGTTAATGAATATATAATTTTAATTGCAATTATTTACAATTTATGCAATGGAATATTAATGTTCACACCTTCTTTGCGAAGTTACAAAACAAATAATCAAAGTAATTAGCTAAACTATTCTCAGAGTTTAACGATCATAAAATATTTGGCAATTGACAAGATCTACAAAAACTTATGTTAATGGCACTTAAAAATAATGATTTATACGGTAACTTTATTAAGCGAGAAAACTAAACGACAACGGTTTTAGCTACTCAGTTGAATTCTTTATATGAGAACGAAAAAAAATTAACAAAATATTAATTGAGAGAATAAAAACGAGGCATTTGTGGCTACTGAAGCCCAGGTAAACAATTTGACTTGTCACATTTGCAAATCTCGGTGATCTGCCACAGTCGCTGAGCAGACGTACTTGAGCTTCAGTTTCACTTTGTTTTTATTAATTTTTGCTAAATAAAACTTAAATTTGATTATAATTGATTAAACGCAGCAAACAACTTCGGAGCAGACGCGCAGCATCAGCAATTCCAAACATTAAAGTAATTGGCACAATTTGTGCATCAACAATGAAAACAAACAAACAAACAAGCAAGCAAACACTGAGAAAATTATTTCTTAATCAATATTTTTCAATTTGCCAAATATTATTTGTTTTTTGTTTAAATAATCGAGCGATGTATCCAAATTCTGATGAGTGCGCGAGTCAAATATCGCTAAATTTTACCGAAAAAAACCCCAGAATTATTTGAAATTATTGCCTGCATCAATGCTCGTCAGCAACTGGATTGACCACTTGACTCAAGCCGGCCAAGATGCCAAGTGCCAAAAAGCACCAACTCCAGCTGCAAGCTCTCAACGTTAACAGCAGTTAAACGTACCGTTTCGAATGCTTGACTTGCTGCAGTTGCAGAAATGCAAAACTTGCAGATTTTTTTTCACAACTTAAATTTGATTTACCTTTGACAAAGACGATAATAATTATGATTGGTATTAGCGTTTTGCCAAAGGTCAACACGTGCGGTACGCCTGCCTTTTGAAGCAGCGCCAATAC